TGTTTTCTGCTGTTCGTTAGTTTTGATTCAATTACAACCGTTTCACTATTTTTTCCTTTCTGTTAAATAAATATTTGTATATATGAATTAAATATATGAAGTGTAAAATTTTGACTTACGTAAAACAGTGCTTAATACATAGGAGTAGAGCGATGTATATATTGTGGGAGGAAAAAGACAAATAAACTGCCAGTTTATCCCTACAGACCTGTTTCGTGGTTGCCCACTCATCAGGGGATTTAATGAGAATAATCTTTACCATCGCTCAGATACAATATTATCTAATTTATGCAGCGCAAAATTTAACAGTTTAGTTGTTGCGTAGGAGGGCTTTGTTTCTGTGGCGGCAGGAAGACACAAGTTCATTACGTTTGTTTAGTGTTGATAGTTCGGGTCAGCAACAACTAAACTGTTAAATTTCGCGCTGCATAAATACATATATATATATATATACCCACATATCTAACTATATTTGTATATCTGAATCACAGATAATGGTGCTAACAACAATCACATTACAGGTGAAGATATATCAAATATTTACCTTCGACTTAATAGTATGTAATTGAAGGAGAGGGAAAGCGAGCCCTAATCACAAAGCGAAGAATTTAAATTTCAGAGCTCCTAAATGACTGTTACCCCTTTTTTTAACTTTTACTTGAACCAAACGGTGTTTAAATGAAATGAAAAACATTGTGAGTGACGGAATGAATGAGCAAGAGCATGCTTGAGTGATTGGGTGAATGAGTGAGAGCTTGTGTGATCAAGTAAGTGTGTGAGTGATCAAGTTATTGCGTGAGTGATGAATATTGAGTGAGTGATAGAATGAGTGATCGAGTGAGTGAGTTAGTGAGTGATAGAATGAATGATCGAGTGAGTGAGTTAGTGAGTGATAGAATGAATGATCGAGTGAGTGAGTTAGTGAGTGATAGAATGAATGATCGAGTGAGTGAGTTAGTGAGTGATAGAATGAATGATCGAGTGAGTGAGTTAGTGAGTGATAGAATGAATGATCGAGTGAGTGAGTTAGTGAGTGATAGAATGAATGATCGAGTGAGTGAGTTAGTGAGTGATAGAATGAATGATCGAGTGAGTGAGTTAGTGAGTGATAGAATGAATGATCGAGTGAGTGAGTTAGTGAGAATGAATAGAAGTGAGTTATGATCGAGTGAGTGAGTTAGTGAGTGATAGAATGAATGATCGAGTGAGTGAGTTAGTGAGTGATAGAATGAATGATCGAGTGAGTGAGTTAGTGAGTGATAGAATGAATGATCGAGTGAGTGAGTTAGTGAGTGATAGAATGAATGATCGAGTGAGTGAGTTAGTGAGTGATAGAATGAATGATCGAGTGAGTGAGTTAGTGAGTGATAGAATGAATGATCGAGTGAGTGAGTTAGTGAGTGATAGAATGAATGATCGAGTGAGTGAGTTAGTGAGTGATAGAATGAATGATCGAGTGAGTGAGTTAGTGAGTGATAGAATGAATGATCGAGTGAGTGAGTTAGTGAGTGATAGAATGAATGATCGAGTGAGTGAGTTAGTGAGTGATAGAATGAATGATCGAGTGAGTGAGTTAGTGAGTGATAGAATGAGTGATCGAGTGAGTGAGTTAGTGAGTGATAGAATGAATGATCGAGTGAGTGAGTTAGTGAGTGATAGAATGAGTGATCGAGTGAGTGAGTTAGTGAGTGATAGAATGAATGATCGAGTGAGTGAGTTAGTGAGTGATAGAATGAATGATCGAGTGAGTGAGTTAGTGAGTGATAGAATGAATGATCGAGTGAGTGAGTTAGTGAGTGATAGAATGAATGATCGAGTGAGTGAGTTAGTGAGTGATAGAATGAATGATCGAGTGAGTGAGTTAGTGAGTGATAGAATGAGTGATCGAGGGAGTGAGTTAGTGAGTGATAGAATGAGTGATCGAGTGAGTGAGTTAGTGAGTGATAGAATGAATGATCGAGTGAGTGAGTTAGTGAGTGATAGAATGAGTGATCGAGTGAGTGAGTTAGTGAGTGATAGAATGAGTGATCGAGTGAGTGAGTTAGTGGGTGATAGAATGAATGATCAAGTAGTGAGTGAGTTATTGATTGAGTGGGTGAGTGAGTAAGTGAGAAAGTTATAGAGGAAGGCAAGGGGAAGAAAGGAATGAGAGTAATTAAGAGAGTGATGGACTAAGTGAATGAATGACTAAAAGAGTGACTAGTCGAGTTAGTGATTTTTTGAGTGAGGGATTGGGTAAGAGAGTGAGTGATCACTCGGGTTAGTTAGTGAGTGAGTGAATGAGTAAGAGAGTGTGTGATCGAGGGAGTGAGCGAGTGATAGTGTGTGTGGATGAGTGAATGAGCGGGGGAAGGAGGTAGGGAGGAAGGTAGTGAGAGAAAATAAAAATCAAAGCCTGTTAGTGATCTCTTTTTCCTGTTAGAAAATGTCAACTGTGGCACAAGTCCTTGTTTAAACGGAGGAACTTGTTCCAAAGATGGAAGTAGTTATATCTGTAAGTGTTTGGATGGATACCTAGGAAACCGTTGTCAAACGAGTGAGTGACTGTTCCCCAAAAAGACGACACATCATAAATCCCTTGATGCCTCATAGCCTTTGGACTCTGAGATTCAGAACATTACAGGTCCGCTTGAATTACCGAAACGAAACAAAACAATTTTTGTGAGCCAATAGTCGCAAAAGGAAATACAGAAATCGGAATCGAAAAAGAAAGCTTAAAATGTTTTGTATGATTGATGTATCTATGTTGAAACGCTGTCGCTAAGAAGTGGTACGGTAAATAATGGTTTTATTCTAGGGAAAATCAGCAGCATAAAAAACAGTGTCATCAGCAACAATTATTAAAACTTAGAGTTCGAAGCTCTTTTTTTTTAGGCTTGCATTTTCACCTACCTGGTTTATATAATGCAGCAAAACCAAAACTAATTTTTTCACCTATCAATGACTTTTGCCAGGCCTGCAGTCATCCACTGTGACTCCTTCGCTCTTGATGAACTCATTATCTAAACCATCGAATGAAGTCAATAAAAGTAAACGTCAGTCAATAGCTATAGAAAAAGGTTCCCCTTCTATTCAAGGTGAGCTACATCTATGAATAGTTTCGTGTGTATTTAAGACTATTGACAATCATTTGTCTACTACTGACAAACGCAATTGAAGAATTATTGAGCTAGGCAAAAGTCAAAGTGGCGCTGATGTGGCACCCCATCTAGCACATGGATTAATCTCGATGTTACTTAAAAATAAGCAACATTAACAGCAACAACAAGAACTACAGTCTTAAAAACAGGGTTCGAAGCTCGTTTATTTTAAGGCTTGGATTTACACCTACCAGACTTTCAATAATGCAATCCCACCGTTAATAGTTCTCTCTCTTTGCAGGCCTGCAGTCATCCACTGTGACGCCTTTGCTCTTGGTTAACTCATTATTCAAACCATCGACTGAAATCAGTAACAATAAACCTCTGTCTCAAGCATTAGAAAAAGTTTCCCCTTCTACTCAAGGTCAGTTACGTCTCTAAATATTTTTTTAGTGCATTGAAGTGGATACAGCGGCAAAATCAGTGCGCATGCTCATAACCCACAGAATAGTTTACGTGTGCAAAAGAATGGGAATGATAATATTTCTACAGTAACCCTATGGCAGGAAAATGCCAGCATTTTTAAATTCTCCATCGTTTGTTTTCATTTTACGAAAACGAGCTCAAACCAAAACAGGTAAGGTTGCCGTTTCAGTAAAGTTTCTTTGGAAACTCCACCGTCACATATCTCACTCAACAAAAACAAATTTTGCATTAACAGCTGCGAATTTAGGGACTGAAATAGAGTATCCGTGAGATGGCTATGAATTTCGAAGCGACTGCTATCCTTTTAACTGCTAGGGTGAATTCAAGACTGCTTGCGATGAACTTTAATTAAAAGAACGCTGCTTGTCCTTCAGACTTTTCCATAAGAGCAAACTCCATTATAGAGTATATTATTGCATTTTCTCTAATGGGAAGAGGTTGTTAAAAATTGAAAATTCGAGTTTGGTGTTTCCAATAGCAGGAAGAAAGCAGAATCAAGTTTGATATCAGGGAAAGACTCGATTTTAAGATTTTTTAACGTCTAATTAGATCTCGATCGTGCAGTCATGGCTAGATTATGCGACAAAGGCTATCAGGAAGACTTTAATACGTTAAGTCTCATCTAAGTAACTCACAATCAGTTTTTAATCCCGCCACATTCGTATGTAGGAGTGACCTTTAGCACATCCATATCAATACCAAGTACAGGAAAAGAAGGAAACTGCTTTAGCGTTCATGTACACTGCATAAAAATGAAAAATGGATCCTGCCGGTCTTACTGTGTGTATGTGGACAAGAACTATCATGGAATGGATAAATGTCTCTGTGAGTACTATGAGCTCAAGACGGTATTTGATTGCATACAAGTAAAACACCTATTTTGTATATTCGTAGCTTTGGGTATATTTTGGAGTATCATAGTTGGACAAAGATAACGAAGACAACTCCTGAGAATTTGGAGTAATTGAAGCGCGGTCCGTTTTCATTGTTAGAGCAGTTTAAAGACTTTGTAGCGAAGACAATTAAAGGGATAATGTAAGTTATTTTATACCGGGACCCACCGAAAAGGCCATCGAAGGTGTGTAATTCAAACTGGTCTCTGTTTTAGAATCGACAACAACATAACACGCGCATGTAACACAGATGCTCACTTCGCATAAAGATGCGAGTGCTTTCATTGAAAAGAATTTGAGTTAAGGGTCGTTGTTAATTAGTTGTCTCTCTTCTTCTTAGTTAAAGTTACTTTAAAAGTACGGCACCACTTGGTTCTGGTTGAATTCATAGTAAACTGCCCAATGAACTACCTAGTTAAATCAATAATTCTTTCCATTGCATTAATAATACCACTTAGGTGAAGATATTAATACATTGGGACCACCTAAGGTAGAGATACTCTCCGCATCCAAACAGCCATTTACGGAAGAGACAGATGTCATGAAACGCGACGAGGAAAGAATGTTCCAAGCGTCCATGACTCGACATGAGCACGAATTATTAAAAACCCCGTTGTCACTTGCTTGGTTTGTGAGAGATGTGAATGTCACGCCTTTTGCAATTTCCAAAAATCGGACGCTTGTAAACCGAGGTTCCCTGATCTGGAATGCCCCCGCTGGATCGCTATCAACGGGTCTGAAATTGATTGAATTCGAAGTTTCTCACTTAAACTCAACTGCAGCAAGACGAGACTTAACTTTCATCAAAGTGGAAGAGCCATGTCTAATTGCTGTGATAAACGGTGGATCCGAAACCCTGGTATCTGCCAGGGGGCACATTGACATCAATGGAGGCGATTCCATTGATCCGGGAATCGGCGGGGCTCGTTCTTCTGGTATGGAATTTAAGTGGAAATGTTTCGATGGCGGATCGCTTGTGCCCATTTATAATGATACCCGAGCCATAGTAGTTCCGTCAGAATTATCCAAGAGAACTGCATCTATCTGCCAGAGCCAGGAAATGAATGAGACAAGAGGACGTAAAATTCTCTTTCAGCCTAAAGCGGAACACATATACTACATCCTGCTTGTTGTCGAAAAAGATAGCCGCCAGGCTGAGTTTCTTCAGACTGTTTATGCAGTAGATGAAGACATGCTAAACGTCAAAATCAGGTAGAAGTGTAAATGAAAAAAACAATTTTTTATGTATTAATTCATAAATTTACTCGTCAAATTAATATGACTAGACTCCCAGTTACCCCTGTCCCTATTTTTCGGTTTTCACTTGAGACTTGCAGCCATACATGTTTCCTATTTGGAAATTTTAATTTTTTTAAGTTGACCAAAACCTACTTAATTTAAAGAGGTCTTTAATTATACTCGACCATGGATTAACAATTTTCTATAATTATAGTCTAACTTTGCAACGATACACAGTTGCATAGTGTTATAAAGAGTTCATAGTAAACTGGTATTCAGTGAGTTTCTTTTGTCTTTCTACAGATGCGTCTCTAACTGCAAGAGGGATGTTATACCCAGTGAACGCTTTAGCTTGACAGCTAAGTGCTCCGGGTTATGTAGACTGAAGAACACTAGCATTACCTGGAAATTGTTCACAAAGGGATTCCAAAGCAATGAATCCACAACAGTGTGGCATCTGAAAGACTCCTTGAAATCGATGATATCAACAAAGATTAGCTCGAGAAATATCGTTTTTAGACAAGGAAGATTACTGGAAGGTTCATCTTACAGGCTTACAGTTAATGTACAATTACCGGACGGAAAGTATGGTTGGGCGGCGTACCAGTTTAAAACGGTCTCCGTGCCGACAGGTGGGACCTGCAACGGGACACAAGCAGGCGGAGAAACTTTAGGAATTTTACTTAATATCCACTGCACTGGATATAATGACAAAAACAAGCATCTCACCTATGAGTTTTTCCATCAAGTCGAGGGCGGCAATTCCCACTTGTTACTGTACAGTGCTATACCATTTGTCACTGTTCAGATTCCTAAATTTGATAGCGGCGAGGTTGACATAAAGGTTGTCATAATCAATTCGTTCGCAGCGAGAGCTGAAACTTCCTTGAGAATCCAGGTGAGTACAAATGAAGTATCATGATCAATTTACGTATTATGTTGATATCGAAGTTCAAGCTCGTCACGATCATTAGGAGAGCATAATATCCACTCTTAAGGGGCAAGATGACGAAAGTTTGGAGTAGTTTCGCGTGTCATTGACAAAAGCCTTTTCGAGATTCAAACCTCGAAAAAGTCTTTTGTCAGAAAGGGAGAAACATCAATTGAAAATAAAGATTTTAATGAGGGTAGACGATGTTATGTATGGCAAGCAGTAAAACGGACTGCAAATGACGAGCTTCACGTCCAAGTTTATTTTTGTAAGATGGGAAAACTTAAACTTGGCTCCTTAGAAAATAGCAAACGAGTAATGAAAAACTCAAAACTAGCATAGAACCACTTGCCATCAAGTTTTGTCTGTGGTCGCCATAACGTGTTCGACCCTTGACCCGAATTATTTTCTTTTAATTTTAGTTTGTTACTAACATTTTGTTACTCAACAGGTTACAAACCCATCATGGACAAATTTTCCTGTGGGTGCACCTCTCTTCTTTCGTCGTGCTGAAGCTTCCTTCACAAGATATTTGAAGGAAGGATCCTTGAACGACGCCTGGCAGATTGCACAGGTCCTTGTGCAGGCTGTTATTACAAATGAAGATGCACATTGGATAACAAAGAGTTACGAGAAAAATGTAAGATGTAATTCTCATTTTAACCTTACCAGACCATCATTACTTTTCTCTCCGACTCACCACAGCTTTCTACAACAAAATTATATGGTGGCCGTTATTGTTATTATCCTAGACAAGTACAATTAGTAATTCATGAATTAACTTGTATTTGACCTTCAGATGAGAATTCAAGTAAAATAATGATCCTCGGTTGTGGGCTGAAATTTCGGAGATTCCAGAATAAAAGCAAAACGAAAAACCTAAAAATGTATGTTTCTTTTCTGCAAGTTCTTAAATTGCAGCCGACCAATGAAGTGGTGTTTTCCTTGATTGAAACGTATGATCGAAAACAAAACTAAACCACAGCATGAACGTTGCGAAGTCATTCAGATGCTTTACTTCAAGCTATCTTTTAAAAGGATTAACAGCATATTCTTTTTACTCTATTCTTTTTGTAGATTAGCGACCATATCTTTCAAAAATTATCGAATTCCAATGCATCAGATGTGCAGACCGTTCTTCAGCTGTCGTCAGTCTTAAACCTGACAACTTCAAATCCAAAACATTTATCTTCAGCAACCATGGTAAATATCGTTGACCTTCACGATTTTCTTCCTCTTTTCGTCAACTGGAAAATAATTTATCAGTTTCTATCGTGTAACTTTCCCGTTTTCTACCCCACCAAAGTGTCTCGAAAAAAATTCTCGAGTAAGCTATTCATTCAAAGGCTCCAACCATGTGAGCGACTTGAATTCCGCATAGACTCAACAATAATGGTTTACTACGAATCCCGTTCCTCCTTACACTACGAGTCAGACTAAAGGAAAACTAAGACTTAAAATACAACAATGCACATGTAAACTCATTCTTCGCGCGCTAAGCCTGCCATATGTGAAAAAAGAAATAAACACTTCCGTTTCTTTCTTATAGTAAAAGGTGTAGTGGAGCCTCAATGTAGAGAACATTTCAAAAAAGAAAGTGTTGATCACTTACCGAAGTATCATTCCGAGACCTATCATTAATGTACGCAGTGATTTTTCTTGCTTTTTTCATTATAGCACATTGGATTGGAAATACTTGAGAAATGGGTGCAGTTAATAAACATCAGATTTCGCGGTGGTAATGGGAAAGACCGTGCTCTCAACAGAGATGCATGGCACCTTGTACTACATTGCTCTGGGAATATTCTGCACGCCATCACACAAAGAGTTTCTTCCTCTACAGATGAACAAGGAAAGGTAGACTGACAGACTTAAATAACTGTGTTGCATCATGCACTTGGACAGGCCACAGAATATCTTGCTTTCGCAATATACCTTAGAAGCTTATTTAGTTCATGCTAGAAAGCGTCATCCTTCTGATTTTATCACATTGCCTTGGTCTTTTTTGAAGGAGGATCAAAAATTTGATAAATAGTTTTGAATAGGGAATACTAAGCTAAGATTCGCAAAATAGCCTCGACTCTTAAGATAGTCTCCTCTAGAGCTTTATTTGGAACTCGCTTGTTTTCGAAGACCTAGAGACAACCTTCCAATATCTAAACTCACCTCACGAATTCTCTTGCTCACATTTATTCTAATCCCTCACCACCAAAGCAGCAAAGGAACAGAGTGGGTACATACATAGGTAACAGTTTTTCAGGAGACCTCATACAACGAGCCTGAAAACAATAAAAGCCTACAAGAAAAATTTGTCTCCTTGCTCAATGTGCCCGTGCCTTTCACCTTCATCAAAGGAAAATGTGCTTTTGACATGTAGCTTGTAGGCGAGAAATATTCTTACGAGCAGCAGGTTATACTCGGCTGTCCATTTGTCAGAGCGAATGACGAAGGGCCAACCCTTGTAATGTCAGCTTTAAAAATCCTTCTTGAGACCAATTTACATCATCAACTCAGCTGATAAACAAAATTATCTTGTTATACACCCCATCCGACGCAGCACCATAGTTTCTTTAGAAAATTAACCCCTTCATACGTTTGTCTATTCGTCATTTGTTATTACGTGGCTTGCTTGAAAGGTGTGTTCATGTGCGTCTGCCTACACCCCTGCAAAATTTGTAGAGCAGTTGAAGGAGATATGGCAGGTGATCAGCTTAGCGTTTCTAGCAAAGTACCAGTAGCCACATTTAAACTGACCTTTGTTTTCGAGGACTATTAAAACTTTAAAATTGGTTTAATTAAAGTGTATATATTTTCACTACTTCATTTAACGAGAAATTTACTTTAATATTTCATAAATATTCTTACTTACCTTTTCAGTTGGAAAGGATGCAAAGAAGAGCACTAGATCTGCAGGAGTCAATGATGAACTCTATAATGTCGTCGAGGCTCACAGGAGAAGAATACAGCGTCATGAAAACTAAACATAACACTGTGATTTTGGGAAAGCTTGAAATTCACGAGATGAGTGATCTTCGAGTGGAAGATGACAAGGCAAGCTTTTCTCTTCCGGTGATGGATGAAGGCATGACAGAGAAATTGTTTGAAAATGCTAAGGATGTGCAATTTCAGGTACTGCGTAAATCAAACTAAAGATAGTGCTTCTCTGTGTAAAAAATCGGCGACCTAATGGATTTCGCGTTTTACTAGGATTGAAAGGTGTATATTCTACTCAGGAATATTTTGATTACCGGCCACATTAGTTTGGAAATCATGCTTCGATATGAAACATCCTTTCAGTTAATAATGGGTTGTGTTAGATCACATTGACCAGATAGCTGTTAACACTATTTAACCTGTTCTGCACCACGAGTGATCTTCGGGCTCGTAACTTGCTTGGCCGAAATAGTAGCACAGAAGCATCATGTAACTCTCTGGTAATTCACATTCAAAAAATGAAATATAAAAACAGTAATGATAATAGTAACGATGAAGATGGTATCTGTGACAGTGACCATGACTATGATAATGATGATGATGACAACAATGGTGATTATGATAGTGATGATGTCATAAAGCAGGTTGTTTTTAATGCAATGACAACATAGGAGATTACAATGTATAACAAGTTCTTACTGAGTAAGGTTTCAAACCGATGGTCATCCAAAATTAAAATAGTTAGAACACTTGGCTTTTACAAGATCTTTCGATGCGTCTTTTAGAATAAATGCCAGTAAATTTATGATTACTTGATGCATTCGTCCTTTTGACTTACTTTCAAGATGATTAGCTACGCAGTAAACCCATACTCCCTCCATCAGCCAGTCGATGAAATCAACTCTGAGGTGCTCAGTCTGACACTCAAAGATGACAACGGAAACGTAATGAATATCTCAGACCTAGGCTCAGAGATCTCCTTGAAAATTCCAATAAGTGAAAAAGCAGAAAACGAGACACCATCAGTCGATGAGTACTCAGTCCCAGACTTCATGTTGTATCGAGATTTTACAGAAAGTTATGGAAACAGTAAAATCAAACTGTCCTTAGACTTACAGAAATCTGCTCCCTTTGAACTGTATGTAAAGTATGGCGCTAAACCAACGAAAGAGGACTATGATTTTGCCACCACTCTAGACAAAGAGAATTGCCAGGATAAAACTAGCATCTGTGCCAATATAAGCCATCACGTTTGGTTTGATGCCGAGCGCAAAGGGAAATATTACATTGGACTGCTTCATAAAGGAATATCGACGAGAAAGAGAAGGTCGACACTAGCGGTAGATCCTCCTGAAAAAGGTTTACAACTGGGTCAAATATTAAAGAAAAGGATGCCAAGATCCAATTCTCAATCGACGCACTCTGTTGAAGAATTGTGTGTAAAGTTCAAGGATTCCCCAATAGATGAAACAACCGGTAAAGGGACGATGGACTCTCCTCCATACGACCCACAAGAGTCTGTGAACTTTACAGTGGTCGTGGATTCAGTTGGATGTCGGTACTGGTCCGAGAGTAACCAACAGTGGTTGAATGATGGATGCAAAGTAAGTACCTGATATAAGAGTCTTCGAAAAGATACCGAGAGAAAATAAATATTTCTCGTTCTAGGGAAAAAAAGTATGGCTTAAGAATTAAATTCAACTGAAATTAAATGCAACTGAACCCATGGAAGAAATAGCTGAGAAACGGGGTTTCGATTGGGATGGACTCGGCTGGTTTAATTGCCGGTTTTTTTTCTCCTTATCAAGG